TTGTTCCTGAAGCTTCTTTAACTCACAGAATTTGAAATCACTGTCTGCAGGATCATGGTGTTGCGAGCTTGATGGCTTTGGCTTTATGACGGATCCTTAAACATTTAAGAATTCCTTTTTGTCTTGTATTGTTTGTTTTTATGAGGGGGAGGTAATTAGGTTTTTCTTTGATTTTTGCTTGGAGAAGGTACTGGGGATTGAACCCAGGACCTCTTCCGTGCTGAGCAAGCACCCTTCCACTTGAGCTATATCGTTCCCCTGAGAATTCCTTTTTAAAAGAGATGAAAAACCCATACAAATGAAAATATCAGTTACGTGAGGGTGCCGTGAATATGGGTGGAAGAATTCTTCTTTTATAGATTCTTACATGCTGTCAAGTTGGTAATGTAGCTTTCCCAGCCGTCAGCATCTGATGAGGATCTTCAGATCAATGAAAATCCAAGGAAAATAGTCCGAGGCACTGCAGTGCCATCTCTTTCCACCTTCAGTGGATTCTCTGGGATTCCTGGCGACCTCTAGAATAGGGAATCTTGGTGGCCTTGAGTATCTTTCCCATGACCTTGGTTGTCCCAGGTTCGTCTCTCTGCCCTGCCACCTTGTGGATTTTGGGGGAATTGCGTCTTCTGCTGCGAGCCCTCTAGACTCCTATCACTGATTTGGCTGCCGCTTCCCTAGGAATGGGCACAGGCGGGTAGAAGAGAATTCTTCCCACCAGATTGACACTCACAACAAGGTGACCTTGCTCTTTCAGTTTTGCTATAGTTCCTCCTTTTGGGATGGTATCCCCAGAGCACCACCTGAAAGGCATTTGAGTGACCCTGCTGGTATCACACCTGAAGGGTCCTCTCCACTTGAGACCTGGAACCAGCATCCCAGGGTGGGATACAGGCCCCTGACTTTCTTTAGTATCACCTCTCCAGTCCACCCAAGGTTCCTTGTTTTCTTTTTACATTATGAAAGTTATACAATCTTACTTAGAGCTTACAGTCCAGAGGAGGAGACATTTTAAAAAGCAAACAAATAAAGACAACAGTTACGCGTTATGGTGAGTGCTGTGAGGTGGAGAGTCATGGTTGTAGTGGGAGCAGAGAACTTCATTAGGCAGGCTGGTAAAGGCAGGCTTGCCTGAGCAAGAGAAATTGCAAATAGAAACCTGAAGATTGAGAAGAATCCAGTGATTAAAAAAGGGAGGAAGAGCATGTGCCAAGGTCCTGGGTGGCAATGAGCTTGTTAAGTTGAAAGTAAGTGTAGCTAGAGTGGAATGAGCTGGAGGGGTGTGGCTGAAGTGGGCTTGGAAAGGGCAGAAGTCACAGATAACACAGGGCCCTGTAGGGCATGGTAGGGATTCTGATTCTGTTCTGAGCAGTAGGAAGATAGAGGAGGATTATTTATTTATTCATTCATTCATTTGTTCATTTTTCAGTTTTATTAGGTGGAATTGTTACAGTTTGCACATATATAATATGTTGCATGTAAATACATATACACAATATACTGCATGTACTTTTAAAATTTACATAAATGTACTGTTCATTGTTTTTAAGAATGTTTAGAATTTTAGCTTTTTAAACTTACATAGTTATCAAAGGAATACAGCCAACCACAAAATAAGAATTAATTCAAAAATATACATATACCCCACTATTAACAGCAACATTCTTTATAATTGCCAAGCCATGGAAGCATCCTAAGTGCACACCCATAGATGAATGGATAAAGAAGATGCAGCACATATATGTAATGGAATACAACTCACCCATAAGAAAGAAGGATATGTTGCCATTTGCAGCCCTTCATTCACTTTTTTTCTTTTCACTTCAAAAACCAGAGTTTTATAACTGGCATAAAATTTCCATT